GCGAGCCTGGGGGGGAGAGGGGGTACAGGGATGGGACTTCCTGCCCCCACTGGCCTTGGGAGATGGCTCTGAGCACTGCAGCCTCCCCACCTGCTCTGTGCATAACCAGCCCAGATGGTCAGCACTGAGCCCCACACTCAATGCCTGGAGCTGCCTGGCTGCTGGGTGGGGAGGGAGCCTGCCAGCTACAACCACTGCTGGGTGAGTGAGGTGGGGGGGAATCAGCTGCCAGACCCTGCACAACCTGACAGAGTACAGGGTCACCAGGAACCAACTTTAGGCTGCTGTGCTGCACTCTCTGAACTCTACCTTGCTCCAGCTGCCCGGACCTGCCAGGGTGTGTGTCCGGGTTCTGGGGGCCCAATCCTTTTTATTTCCTCCAGAGCTCAGCCCCCTGTACTGCTGCAAGCTGGGCCCAGTCCTTTTCAGAGCTCAGGCAGTGCCTGGCTGTCTGGCAGCCTAGACAGGGGCAGCACAGGGGAGCAGGCTCCAGAGAAAAAAAGGGTTGGCCCCTTAGAGCTCAAGCAGAGAGTCATTCCTGCCCCTATCCCCTAGTCCCACCTCTGCTCACCAAGACTCTAGTGCAGGGACAGGCAAAGTTCAGCCCATGGGCCTGATCCAGTTGTCAGTATAGCCATTTCCCAGCCACCCCTGTGCATTGCTGGGACCGGTCTCCATGGAGACCCCAGCTGCAGTTGCTCCGTGAAAGCTTAAGGCTGGGGTTGCCATCGAGACTAGCCCCAGCCGCACTGGCAGGGCACACAGCAGAGCAGGGCAGGGGGCTGCTTCAGAGCTGCTGGGATCTTGCAATTGGGGCAGCTTGCTCAGGAGCCAGGGCAGAGCTGTGATCTGTAGCCTGCGCACTCTGGGCAGGGGCATGCAGGCAGGGGATCATGGCTCTGCCCCGGCTCCTTGCAGCCATGATAGCCTGGTCTGGAGCAGGGGAGAGCCACAATCCTCTGCCTGTGCTCCTCTACCCAGAGTGTGCAGGCTACAGATCATGGCTCTGGCCTGCTCCGGAGCAAGATGTCCCATCGCAAGATCCTAGCGGCTCTGGAGCAGCCCCCGCCCTGCTGTGCTGTGCACCCTGCCAGCGTGGCTGGGGTCAGTCTCCATGGCAACCCCAGCCTTGAGCTTTCACAGTGCAGCTATGGCTGGGGTCTCCATGGAGACCGGCACCAGCCATGCGGGCAGGGGCTGCTGGGAAGTGGAGTCTGGCTGCTGGCCAGATCGGCCACTTTGTCCCCACCTTGTTCTAATGGCAGATCACAGCTGTGCAGGTCAGGGACAGTCAGAGCAGATTTTTTTAGCCTTAGGTGTGACTTTTCACTAAGCTGAGCAACGCTAAGCTGATTAACATTTTTTTTGGCTTACGGCATAAAGTATAACAAAACCCTATGGTATTAGCGTCTCATCGTAACAGGTTTCTTTTAATTCCTGTGTGTAAACATTGAATGATCAATAAACTCAGAGGTTCAGCAGTGCTTTAATAAGTAACAGAACAAGTGCTGAAACAGTGCCCTTCCCCCACACAGGGTTTCTGGGGTAAATTCAGTTTACCTGCTCCCTGACCTTCTCAGATAGATGCACATTCAAAGAGAATACAGATCAATAAAAATGTCTTAGCTCCTGCCCTCTGTAGGTGTGCACTGGGTACCTTGGCAGTCCTTTTCTTTCCTCATTGCCCTCCTTTCTTGTACCCCAGCTTGAGGACTGGTTTCCTCATTTGTCCTGGCCCAGAGTCTTCCTACTGTGGTGCAAGAAGCACATTCACTATACAGGCTGACATCTGTGACAGCTTCCCTTCTAATTTTCTCAATTAATACTTCCTCTCCTTTCAAGGCTCTGAAAACATTTACTTCTTT